TATACTTGGGGTTAAATTCACAAAAAAAAAAAAAAAAAAAAATTTACAAATTTTTCAAAAAAATAAAAATTTGTATACAGTCCCAATTCGACAGCTAGCTGTCGAATTACTGTGTGTAATTCGACAGCTAGCTGTCGAATTTGGTCTGTATACAAATTTTTTTTTTTGGGAAAAAATTGCAAATTTATTTTTTTTTTGTCCAAAAACTACGTACATGTGTTTTTTATCTTACATTGCAATATATTTGGGGTTTAAAAAAAAAACATAGTTTTTTCAAATAAAAACCCAACACTTAATAACATTGAAATGTAGCACCAGTAACTTTACATATTTATGTTGGGAGAACTATCACCATTGTCTGATATAGTAATAATCTCGAAACTCTCTCGCGTGGCAACATTTTGACCTATTAATTCTCGAAATGCTGTAATCCGACCATCCATTTCTGCAGGCTTCCAACCATCAGCTTTAGGATCATGACATCGGTACCAATAATCGGCGATAGGAGGTATTGGACAATTCTTGTTCAATACAACATGCACGAAGTGACAGTTGTCGACGAATGCCATACCGTGCTCTTGCCTCTCGCTGAAAAGCTTTGGATCGCTCGATAGGGGAAGGAACGTGAGACACTGATACTTGGATAAGTAGACAAGCACAATATTGTATGTTGAAGCAATTACATGACCCATATTTGGCAAAGACATCCAATGATCACGAGTTGCAGGAACATCCCAGTTACTCACAATAGCTTGCATGCTTCTAACGGTTTCTTCGCCACGGTGCATGGTCGTGTAAGTGGAAAAATTAGAAGTCAACTCCCGTAGCATGTCATCTCGCACTCGACCCCATTCATCTTCTCCAAATCCCATCATAGAGGCAACTGCCCGAAATCCACAGTGTCCATCTGAACCGACATTGATGATTTCTCGAACGTGCATACGAAATCGTGGATGGATCGTGTCAATGTACTTATTCTTGCCGATCAAACCTGGTGGCAATCCCACATCTGCATCTTCAAATAATGGTTTGACCGACTCTTGTGTCGGTATAGTGCTTTTTCCTGACTCTTGAGTTGGTATAGTGTTGAAAGAATCATTCGAATGCCCTCGTAATCTCATCAGTACAGGTATAAGCTGCAGTATATTACATTTCATTACTCAGCACAATTATAAAATACAATTTCAATGAAATGAGACGATAGTAGCGACATTTACCTTTGGAGAACAACTAGCTTGCTTCGATTTTTTTTTCTTTGGCTCCACATACTCAAAATGTGATTTGTCCCGAGTGCTTGATTTGTCTTTCCTACTTTTTGCCGGTCGACCTTTGCTAACAACTTTTTCACTTGGCTCCGTAAGGTTAGTCTTCTCTGGGTGGGTAAAATGTCTCAAATGGTTGCGCAATCGAGTTTTGGCATCGAGATCGGCACATTCAAAGAGCTTCTGGTATTCCGATAATTCTTCGTCGATGGTTGGTAGGATGACTTGGCCTGTGGTCGCGGCGGGCTCCATACTCATGTGTTTCCAATACGAGCCTATTAACTCAAGTGGGATAGGACATTTGTTCACAACAACATACTCATGAAGTTCATGGCGACATGGTAGACTGTGGGTTGTTCGGATGGCGCAACTACAACCCATATCGCTCGGTTGCAATAGTTTCGCATTGTCCACCTCAACTTTGAGTAGTTGTAGAGCGTATTTTGAGATACTTCCACGAAGCTCATTGTATATCAACGTTTTGAAAGTGTGCTCGTAAGTATTTTTACTTACTTCAAAGGAAGCCTTGATGTCATTGTGTTGTTCGACAATTTGATTGTGGACTTTCGTATACAAATCCACAAATGTGCCAGTTGAATTACGCACATCCCTTTTCATTCGTCCGTGTGCCCCCTCCACCCTATTAGAAGTGTACGTTCCAAAATGAGTATACTTATTTGTCCACACCGATACAAGTCTCTCCTTGTACGGATCCAACCATGAATTAGCTACATACTCTATAGCCGGGAGATAACCAATAAATGTTCTTTTCAAATCCTCCCAATCCTCATTGAACTCCTCTATGGTATTTCTTTCAATAAGAGCCGAAAAACTCGACTGAAATTGCTTCCATTTGGTGATGTCCTTTGGGAACAATTTCTTACAATTGGCCACTATATTCTTGTTCACATGCCACCGACACAGCAAGTGATGACTCGATGGATACACATTGGCCACTGCTTTCATTAAACCCAAATCTCGATCTGTTACAATGCAATTAGGCCGAGGACAACTGGTCATGGCCTCCTTCAAACAACGCAACGCCCATTCAAAATTTTCCGTCTTTTCGTGGTCCAAGTAAGCAAAGGCAATTGAGAACGTCTTGTTGGTACAAGTAAAACCCACAATCTCAAGAAATGGGAGTCCGTAACGATTGGTCTTGTACGTGCAATCGATGACGAATACGTACGGATACGACTGTGCCAACTTAATGCATTTCGGGTGGATCCAAAACAAGTCGGTAATCGCATTCAACTCGTTCGATCTATGGTACGAGAGGTATTCATCTTCTTTCAACTTGACAAACAATGATTGCAATTGAGATCTCCCATCCAATTCACTGAAATTTAACTTAGAGATAGTATTGTAAACTGTCTTCATACCAGTTACATTAGACGGGTCCTTTTGCTTCAATGCTCTTAGAATTTCCCTTGGTTTCACCATTGCTTTCTTCATAGTGTGAACAAAGGAAACATCCTCCTTTGATAATCTTCCGGCATAAGAGTGTCCGTGCAAGTTTTCGAATAAGTTGTGGTTGTGAATACCACAACTAACATCCAATTTCCACTCAGCCTTTTCATCATCCTTGTGTTCCCTTGTCCCCTTCAATTTAAACGGACAATTGCATTTCTTTGAACCGGTGCTCCTTTTTCCCGGTCTTTGATCATCTTCACCTGGTACCTTCTTGCCAACATAATGGCCCCCACGCTCACAACGAACAATCACATACGGTGTCCTACGTCCTCTATCCCCGTCACTCGAACCCCCAATCATTAACACCATTCCAATTCTTTTACATACTTCACGAACCCATGCCATTAAAGCTTCTTTTGTTGGGAATTTTTCGGACGTGGTAAATGAATGGGTGCAATCGATCTACACAAAAGAGTCGAAAATATAAGACAAGTAAATTTGCAACAGGAACAAATTCGACACTTAAGTTGTCGAATTATGATGCAATTTTCGACACTTAAGTGTCGAAAAATAGGTGTATTTTCGACCTGTATGTGTCGAAAATACATGGCGAGCTTAAAAAAAAAAAAAATTTCAAAATCGATGTTTTAGCTCAAAAAATACATGAATACATACCTGAATGGGTTCTCCTTGCTCGTAAACTACCATTCTATTGTCATTTGAGGCCATTTTGCAAGTTGTGTAAGGTTTTGATTTCTTTTGTTTTGGGGTTTTTTAGGAGGGTTTTTGGGGAGGGAGAAGAAGGAGGTGGAGGAGGTGAGGGGTTTGGGAGTGAGGAGGGAAATGTTTTTTTAGGTTTTTGATTATTTGGTTTTTAAGAAAGAAAAATAGTATTTGTAATATTATTTGGTTTTAATTTTCATTAAGGGTATTAAAGTAATTTCCAATTAATTATTTAATTTCTATTTTTTTGGTATTCAACTAAGCAAAAGTTAGTATTCAAAATAGTTGCCCCCGAAAAAGAAATATCATTTTTGGAAGAAGAAAAACTAATTCCAATTTTGGAAATAGTGAATTTTGTCCCCAGATCAATCTAAAGACTGAAGAAGACAGCTGACCCATGATATATTTATTCCTTCAATTTTCAAAGGGATTACAGTCAAAGGCTCAATCCCACCACCCAACCCTAATTATTAAATTCAAAATAAATTAGGTCAGCATTAAATAATATAAAAACTACACTTTGCTTCATATATATATATAAAAAATATATATGTATAGGTCCAAAAGAGTTGGTTGACAAGTACCTGTCCTCCGAGCATCGAATATAATTAGTGTACAGTAAATTGATTCATAAGTGATCCCCACCGAAATGCAATATAAATAATTCATATTTTTTTATTTTAATTTGGTTCAATCATCATGTATTACAAAATCATGTCATGTGATTTCAAGATTGTACCATGTTCCCTCAATCACAATCATATCCACCTCCTCTTTTTTCACACACACAACACACACAGAGACACAGTATCTAATCATATTGCCAGTAAAATATCAAGAACATAATCAGTATCAAAATGAAATTTTATAGATTGCATTTTAATCATATTCCAAAACCTTAAGCTATCCAATCAAATATGCCAATAGTGAAGATTTTGCATTGTAATTAGAGACAAGGCTATTTCCTCTTCAACAATGAAAATGCCCACTACCCCAAATTGCACATAGAAAACTGAAAGTATACACAGCATTTGAAGATATGCACTCAGAAGATTAGTTAAAGCATAATAATTTTATACACAGAGAAAGACAAAGATCGGTCCTTACATCTCCAGCTGGCACCGGTTTGTGTGTGTAATGGAGAAAAATCTTGAAGATCAAACTGCAAGAAGATATGAAAACATGAATGAGAATCTCGACTAATGAGATCTTGGACACAGAGAAATGTGTTCCAGCTCAATGTGGATATGAAACAGTGTAACGATTACCAGATAATCAGAATCACTTGCTCTGTTTATTCGTCACAGTTCTCTGAACAGTAGAGACACCGTCCACAAATTTTGTCCGAAAAAGAACATTAGCGTTATTGAACATGCCTTCCTTTAATGAAACCACAATAAACTGCAAACGAAAAGGTAAGGTCTTTTAACGAGATGCCTGGTGTAGAAAGGATAGGAGAGAGGAGAATAGAAGCTGGAAAACTAACTTGGGAGTGTGGGAAATGAGTTTTTATCATCCTTCCGATGTTCTGTGTGTGGCTTAGATCAAGCGCTGCATCGACCTGAGACATTTCAGAAAGATCAGCTTGGAAATTCAATTTGAATGTGTTATCTTTGCATAAAAATACCTTGGTATTGGCTTAAAAATTAGAAATTATAACGCGAAGAAAATCACGAAATCTGACTCATTTTATTAGCAGACAGTTCAACAATGTTTCAAATATTTTTCACAAAAATCACGAAAAAAAAATTGCACGAAACAAAAACTTTACATACCTCATCCAGTATATATAGTGGAGCGGGTTTAAAGAGCAGCAAAGCCAAAATTAAAGAAAGTGCAAGTAAAGATCGTTGCCCTCCACTAAGTTCAGATAAGGATTGTTTCCAAACACTCCCAAAAGCTACCCGAACCTCCAAACCATCAAGGAAGCTGCCTCCCTCGGGAGGTTCCAGTTTGGCCATTGTGCCCGGCAAAAGAGTAGAAAATATAGACCCAAAATCCCTGAATAAAAAGAGCACCTATAATAAGTATTACTAGCAAATTTAGCCTGATCTCACAAAGTTGGAGAGGAAGCGTCATAGTAGGAGATTTAGGATGAACATGAATTAATTGTCATCATTGCAAATTAGCGACAAGAAGTTAGAATGAATAAACTATACTGACTTGTTAACTTTAGTCCAAGTGACTTTAAGGGTCTCTTTCTTCTTTTCATCGAGCTCTTCAATGACCAATTTGATTTTTGACTTGTCATTCTGCATGGAAAAATCTGCGTAAGCCGTAAGCAACACATATATCATGGGAACATTGACATGTCATTCCACCAAGCTAACCTCGATAATGTTCTTTTTAGATATCAAGTCATTGTACTCATCTTCAGCTTTCTCAAACATGGCTGTGACCTTCTTGTTTACCCTTTTCTCGAGACTGCAATAAGAAGTTAGAAGGGGGCAAAAAAATCAGAATATTATTGGAGTCCAGTTTAAAAATGAATGCAAAGAACCAATTATCTTGCACTCTTGCTCATTTCTCACCCTGATTGGTCAGCTTGCAGTTTCTCAAAGTCTTCCCTAGCCTTGTGAGGATCACGGGACTGAAAGTCGTAATCTGACCCAACTCGTCCAAAAAGTTGCTTCTCGGATGCAACCCAAGCATGTTTCTCTAACAATTTATCAACCTTCAGAGAACAATCTTTCTGATCCATCTCCATACGTTTGACCTATAGACGAAGAAAAAAGGATCAGTTTTCTAAAGAAGCTGATTCAAGGACCAAAATGGACATATACCTCATTCTCCATTCTTTTCCTCTCTAAGTTGGCCTCACTAATTTTATGTTGAATTCCCTGTTGCTCTTTGATAATACTAGTAATTTCCGAATCACGTTCTTTGAGCTTCAAACGAGCCTTGTTGAGCTCAGATTGAACCTCTTCGTGATCCTTTTTCACTGAATTAACCTGAAAGAAGATATAAAAGATCAAATTTGGTTTCATCCAGGACTGAGACCCTCCAGTGTCAGTCTATATCGGGTGTACCTTAATTATCTGAGAATCAACTTCTGAAGTAAGATCATTTATCTGCTTCTTTAAAGCTGCTAGTTGACTCTCCAAAGATATTTGTTCTTTTTGAGCTGCTTCCTTTTCCATTATAAGCCTCTCCCGCTCACTCTCGTGTCCCTAAAGATTGCAGACATTGAAATAGGATCAATGTAGTTTAATGAACTAAAAAAAGAATAGGTGTGTATAGCAGTAAGCTTAGTGATGTAAATAACTAATCACAGTACTAAAGAATTTTAAATGTATCAAGTCAAATAACCTAAACTCCTAAACTGAATTGACAAGGTATGAAAACTTAGCATGGGAAGCAGTGCAGTGGGAGATAGGATTAATGAAGTCTGGTTGGTTACCAGATTTCACTCAATAAGCAAGTACTTCAACCAATCAAAGCTAACTTCTAGCGGAAATTGTTTTTAATGTTACAAAAAATGGAATTTAGGGAACTTATGTAACAGTAAAAAGAGACCAGTGTCATTTTCAAATTTAGACAATTACCAAAAAAGACGTAAATTAAAATGACAAATTATCTACCTTGAGATTCTTTGAAGCTGCTTGCATCTGACTCTTAATAGCCTTAATTTTTTTCTCTAAATCCTTGAGTCTACTTTCCCTACTTCCGGCATGGTTGTGAATTGACTGTTCAAGAGATGACACCTTGGCTACACATTCTTCATAAAGAAGTTTCTTTTGTTTAATGGCTGACGTTGCTTCTCCAAGCTCCTCCTCAATCCTCTTCACCAACTCACTGAGCTATATCATACAACAAATTCTTATCATGGTTGTGAGAGGGATTAGACATGTATTATCTGGAACATGTGATAAAAGAATTGTGGCCTAACAATGGAAGAACCAGCAATATTTGTGTGCTATTTTAAATGCTTGGTACAGATAAAGCTCAACCTTATGATGCTCATTCTGCTTGGCCCTGTTCTCCATGAGTGAAAGATCATGTGACTTGAGTTCCAGCTGTGTCTTAAGGTCTTTGAACTTTTGTTGAAGCGGAAGAAGCTCGTTAATCTGATGCCAACAAACAGAAGCATTATGATCTTGATAAAGGCGAATTTTGGTAACAATAGCTGAAGCGAATCTAGAAAAACTAGATGTGATTCTAGGTTCTGAAGACAATCCAGTACAGAGAGAAATCAGTTCATCAAAATTCCATATAACTATTAACATACCAATCATGGTAATTATTTAATATGAATCCAAAAAATGATCGGTATTGAGACTGTTCAACATTTTTTTTAAATAAAAAAATCTTGTAGTTAGAATTTATTGAATAAACAAATCAACTTATTACTGAAATATTCGTCTGGGAAACAGGGATACAAACATGATCTAGCATTTATGACATAAAAAATGGGAGTGGAAGTTCAAAATAACCTTAGCATCAATTTCCAACAGACGTTTCTGATGAATAGAGAGTTTGTTTTCAGCTTCTGACAAAGCATGAAGTTGCCTCAACAGGTCACCTCCACCTCTGAAATTATGAAGATTTTTAGTGTGTATTTATGTTGTTACACTAGCAGTACAATATAGGGAAAACAGTATATAAGAGAAAACATGTCGGCAATTTATATTTCCAACATTAGTTGGGTGAGTCCATGAGAAAGGAGAACATAAGGAGAACATATCATAACTTACTTGCGACTACCTCCAGTTAATAGCCCACTGGGATTGAAGATATCCCCTTCTAGAGTAACACTTGGTGTGCCTGTTTCTCTGTTGAAGGCAACCTACGAACCATCAAGTAATGAGAATATAGACGAGAATACAAGAGGAAAGAAGAAAGCTCACAAACATAACATACCTCTCTTGCAGCATCAATTGTTTTGCAAACAAATGTTGATCCAAACACATACTCCATTGCACTCTGCAAAGCATTCGTATGTCTTAGAATATAACAGATTACAAAATTTGCCTTCAAACTTTAAAAAGAAAGAAGCAAAATCAAGATTAAACCAAAACAGCTTTGATATAAAAAAGTTTCTTCACCACTCATGCTTATGTTAAAGTAGAACCGACTGCACAGACTCAAGATTTTAACAGGTATAGATGATAATCAACAAAAACAGTAATATTCCTATTATATGGTTGCAAGACTAAATAACAGAAATGCTGGAATAAAATAAATAAAAGTGAGTCTAGAATTAAAAAAAATATATGTGAAAGCATACTTGCAGTTCTTGTTCATATCCAACCAGAGAGAGTGCCACATCAGCATTGCCTTTGCCAACCTGACAATGCAAAAGAACATTACATTTTATGTATACACAAGTCATAAGAATAAATTAATAGACATGGCTCGCAGACCAACCAATTTAACGGCAGCACTTTGAACTCTCTGTGAGACGGGGTAAGTTTGGATCTTATTTAGAGGAATGATTGTAACTCTCCTCCTTAGACCACCCTTTTGAAGAAGTTGTTTTCCGGTGTTCTCTGTATCTACGACAACATTAAACAACTTCCCACCAGCAGCAACCTGAACATAACACCAAAAGAGGCTGGAATTCACAACTGGGGACGTCATGCAAAATGGACAATCGGAACAACTAAGTTTTGTGAAAATGCATTAGCAACCTCTAAGGCGACCACTGCAGAGCTATCCTTCACTTTAATTAGTTTTGCAACCACACCTTTCACCCTTGACCTATCAAAATTCTTTTCTGGATCACTGTAATTGAATTCAACATTAGCCAACTGTGAAGAAATTATGCGTGCTTCCTCTTTAAATTTCTGCACCATCTCCAACTCAGTCGTGCGATCCTAATAACATTTAATTCTCAATTTGAGACAGGATCTTATAATTTTTAACGAGATAGGAATTAAATGCCATCGAGGTAAAGCGTACCGTTTGGAGTGATTCCATAAGGTTTTCTTCATAGGGAAGTGATTCCAAAGCAGATTTAACCTTTTCAACATCTTTCCTCTTGACATTGAGCTCATTCTCTATAGCAGCAGCTTTTTCACGTGTTGATAATAGTTGAGTTTTTTTATCATCCAGTTCCTTCTCACAGTGGCCTACTTTCGTTTGTAATTGCTTCAATTCCGTCTCTGCCCTTCCAACAGCTATCTTGGCATCTGCCAGTTGATCTTCAAGGCATTTCTCTTCATTCCCACTGCCCTTCCCTGCTACTACACCCTATAATAATACAATAGTGAGATAATTTCCATCAATATAAATGCTAAAGCTGTTATCAGCTAAATACAATAGGATATCTGAGAATTCTTTACTTGGTATTCCCTTTCATGCTCATCCAAACTCTTTGATAGCTCCTCAACATTTTTCTTAAGACCAGCAGCACCATCTTCAGCTGTTTTTACAGCAGTAGCCATCTCTTCTGCTGCTAGCTTTGATTCTTCAAGACTTCTCTCAATCTGGATTTAGTAGAAAATAAAATAGGTGCGTTTGAAATACAATCTATACTGTCTGAAAAAGTATAAGTTCAATTAATTGTAAGTGAGTCTATCAAAAGAAAGCAGATATACTAAAGTGTACCTTCGTGGCATTCTCCTTTTCAGTTGATAAATTATCTTCTTGATTTTTTAGAACCGAAGTTTCCTTCACCAAATCCCGTGACATAACGTCGACTCTATCAGACAACAATTTTATCTCCCCTCCCATGCTTGCTTCTTTCTCAGCAGTCAACTCCGAAACTTGCTTCTCCATTTTTTGTGTTTCCTCGTGCATCTTTCCAACACTAGCATCAATGTCAACAATCTTATTTCTTATTTCTTGAACGCAATGAACTGCGTTATCTCTAATCTTTTCTGCTTGCACATATTCATAAGCAATACAAAACCTCTTAAGTCTATCTAATTCGGCATTTCCATTGGCCCATTGCATGTACTGTGTTCTCTCTTTTCTCAACTTCTCTAGAGCTGGGAGTATCTCGTGGTCAAGAAGATTGTCGATCTCGTCTACCTTGCTCTGTTTCTTTTCAAGTGTTTTGAGAGCAGCTTCTTTCTTTGTCTCATACATTCTTGTCCCAGCAGCTTCTTCGAGCATAGACAAGATTTCAGGAGGTTTCATATTCAGCACTTTGGTAATACGCCCTTGCATTATAAGGAAATGTGGATTATTCACGTTAAGCTGCACTGAGTGGAACAGATTCTGAACTCGACTAGGCTGGGCGAGGTGCCCATTGATCAAATACTTGTTCCTTCCACCAACTACAATCTGCAGAATGGAATAAATTTTAAATCAGGTCTAGGGGAACGGCCTAGAAGACCACTGCCGTACAAGTTGAAGCTTTACACCACTTAATAAATGTGCAAGAGTAAGCAATTTGTCGCAAATACATACTATTTAATATGTAAATTTCATGTATTTGTTCATAAAATTGAGAGAAAGAAAAATACAAAATTAGATGTAAATTGCAGGCACTGGCCATCCTAAACAATTTCCCTAATTCGAAGCTTACACAACCAAAGTGGAAGCTCTTTTACAAAACATTTGGACAAACGATTGCAACAAACACCAGAAATCTTCGTTTAGCCGAGAAAAAATTTAAAATTAAAGGTAATAATTTGCCCTAAATCAAAATTACCTGACGAGTAACAGTAATTTCGGGGGAATCCTCGTAGCCAAGAGGGCTTCGACTGCGATCTGAGTTATCAAAAACAACTGAGACAGTAGCTTTAGTAATTCCAGCTTGGCCTTGCTTGTACACCAGCTCCTGCAAATTCGAAGCCCTAACCTGCTGCAAATTGGTGATACCCAAGACGAAGCAAATCGAATCGAGGATGTTCGATTTGCCCGACCCATTCAGACCAGTGATTGCGTTGAAATACGGGTCGAAACCCGGGACCACAGTTCTTGTGGCGTAGGATTTGAACCCCTCTAAACAGATTTCCTTTATGTGCATCTTCTTATCTGAATTTGTCGGAAATGTAAAATTACAGAAGAAGAAAAAAAACTTGGGAACTGAAATTGGGGAAAGGGGGTTTTGGAGATCAAAGCGCTGCGAGGAATTTGGAGCCCCCGAAGAGAGAGAAATTTGGTTTCCGAATTTGTTTCTCGAACAGCGCGCTCTAAATGCGAATTTTCGATTTTGGAGGTGTGAAATTTGAATCAGTTTTGTGAGGCGGGAAATATTTTTTGTTAAATAATTGATAAATAAAAAAAATGAAAATATGATGAGCTTCTATTGGGCTGTGTGTGTGTGTCAATTACAGATGCGTAAATTAAGGGGTACGGTCAAATTATAAAAAAAAACATTATTTGGGATACAACTATGAATTTTTTTACATGTCCACTCTTATAGTACCAAATTTTACATAATCATCTAGATTTTGTGGAATGTTATCTTGCTTGTACTCATTTTGTGCAAAAATACAGTTTCTGATGCACTAAATCTAATATATACAAGCAAAAAAACACATCTTATGATCATCACGGGTACAAAATTGAGAATATTCCATGTAATATAGAAGATTCCACTAAATTTGAATCTGCAAGGGTGGACGTGCAAAAAGATATATAGTTGATGGGTGGTTGTAATTACCCAAACAAGAGGGTGTTTTTCGTAATTTAACCATACCTCAAGTAAACCTACTTCGTATAATAGTTTGTTATACGAAAGAGGTAAACCATTAGTCATCCCTTACGTGACTCCATGCTAGAACTAAGGATGTAACCATTGATTTTTGTGGTTGATCATCCGATTTTAGTGTTCTGCACCTGAATTTTTTTATTTGAAATGTTGTATGATTTTTGTTCCGGATCTGAGAGCTATTGATTTGATTTGGAATTATTGTTATGTGCTCTTAGGTTTCATCAATCTTCAGTATATAAATCAACGCATATAATTTCAAATTGTGGTTTACTGTTTTTATGATTAATTATGTACTCTAATCTGAGAATCAATGGTGCACATCAACAGCCTAAGTACAAGTGACTTCTGTTTTTTTTTTTTTTTCATCTATTTTATGTTGATTTATAATTTGTCTACCCCTACATTAATGCATGTAATTTCGTAATGAATTTTAATGAAATGCTTCTCTTTTATTGACTGTAGTGGTTATTTTTCATCTTTTGCTTTTATTTTCAATGTCATCTATGATCAAAGTTTAATGACATTATCTTGTTTTGTTGGTATATAGGTTCACATGAAGTCTGATTCTGATAAGCCTTCTCCCAAGCGGGAGGAAACAATTGACGATGATACCAATGGACACAGAGAAGGATTCTTCTTCCGATTCGAAGGGAACAGTTGCTTCTGAAACTGACTTTGATGAGATAAAGTCAGATGAGGAACAGGCAAAACAAAATCTTTCTGACAAGAACCTGCCGCCTCTATCCCCTGTCGTGATCATAGAAAGCAAAGCGGATAGCCTGTCGAGGAAAAAGATCCGTACTATTTTGGAGCTTATTGAAGTTTCAGCTGCTAATTTGGCCACTATGTTAACAAATGTAAATCACGTCAATGGAAAGCTGGGGAGTTTTGAGAGTTTTATTGGAAGGCTGGGGGATTGTGAAAAGGCTCTTACCTCTAATCTTGATAATATCCGAGGTCTCGGTTTTAATGATGATAACGTTGTCTCTAATGTGATATCCTCATAAAGAAGGTTGAAACTCTTATAGTGAATGTTGAAACTCTTGTGTCCAAGTCAGATACACGTGACTCGAAGATAGAAACTGACTTTGATGAGGAATAGTCAGAACAAAATCTTCCTGACAAGAACCTGTCACCTCTATCCCATGTCGTGATCATAGAAAGCAAAGCGGCGCCTATCGAGGCGAAAGATCCGTACTCTTTTGGAGCTTATTGAAGTTTCAGCTGCTAATTTGGGCACTATGTTTACGAATGTGTATCACGTCAATGGAAAGCTGGGGAGTTTTGAGAGTTTTATTGGAAGGCTGTGGATTGTGAAAAGGCTCTGACCTCTTATCTTGATACTATCCGAGGCCTCGATTTAATGATGATGACGTCGTCTCTAAATGTGATATCCTCCTAGAGAAGGTTGAAACTCTTCTAGTTACTGTTGAAACTCTTGTATCCAAGTCAGATCCCCGGGACTCGAAGATAGAAACTGAATTTGATGAGGAACAGTCATAACAAAATCTTCCTGACAAGAACATGCCGCCTCTATCCCCTGTCGTGATCATTGAAAACAAAGCGGATAGCCGGTCGAGGCGAAAGATCCGTACTCTTTTGGAGCTTATTGAAGTTTCAGCTGCTAATTTGGCTACTATGTTAACGGATGTAAATCACGTCAATGGAAGGCTGGGGAGTTTTGAGAGTTTTATTGGAAGGCTGGGGGATTGTGGAATGGCTCTGACCTCTAATCTTGATAGTATCCGAGGTCTCGGTTTTAATGATGATAACGTTGTATCTAAATGTGATATCCTCATAAAGAAGGTTGAAACTCTTATAGTGAATGTTGAAACTCTTGTATCCAAGTCTGATTCCTAGGACTCGAAGATAGAAACTGACTTTGATGAGTAACAATCATAACAAAATCTTCCTGACAAGAACATGCCGCCTCTATCCCCTGTCGTGATCATAGAACGCAAAGCGCATAGCCTATCGAGGCGAAAGATCCGTACTCTTTTGGAGCTTATTGAAGTTTCAGCTGTTAATTTGTAACTATGTTAACGAATGTAAATCACGTCAATGGAAAGCTGGGGAATTTTGAGAGTTTTATTGGAAGGCTGGGGGATTGTGAAATGGCTCTGACCTCTAATCTTGATACTATCCGAGGTCTCGGTTTTAATGATGATAAAGTTGTCTCTAAACGTGATATCCTCATAAAGAAGGTTGAAAGTCTTATAGTGAATGTTGAAACTCTTGTATCCAAGTCAGATTCCCGGGACTCGGAGATAGAAACTGACTTTGATGAGGAACAGTCATAACAAAATCTTCCGGACAAAAACATGCCGCCTCTATCCCCTGTCGTGATCATAGAAAGCAAAGCGCATAGCATGTCGAGGCGAAAGATCCGTACTATTTTGGAGCTTATTGAAGTTTCAGCTGCTAATTTGGCCACTATGTCAACGAATGTAAATCACGTAAATGGAAAGCAAGGGAATTTTGAGAGTTTTATTGGAAGGCTAGGGGATTGTGAAATGGCTCTGACATTTAATCTTAATACTATCCGAGGTCTCGGTTTTAATGATGATAACGTTGTCTCTAAACGTGATATCCTCATAAAGAAGGTTGAAACTCTTATAGTGAATGTTGAAACTCTTGTATCCAAGTCAGATTCCCGGGACTCGAAGAAAGAAACTGACTTTGATGAGGAACAGTCTTAACAAAATCTTCCTGACAAGAACATACCGCCTCTATCCTCTGTCGTGATCATAGAAAGCAAAGCGCATAGCCTGTCGAGGCGAAAGATCCGTACTTTTTTGAAGCTTATTGAAGTTTCAGCTCCTAATTTGACCACTATGTTGACGAATGTAAATCATGTCAATGGAAAGCTGGGGAGTTTTGAGGGTTTTATTGGAAGGCTAGGAGATTTTGGAATGGCTCTGACCTCTAATCTTGATAGTATCCGAGGTCTCGGTTTTAATGATGATAACGTTGTCTCTAAATGTGATATCCTCATAAAGAAGGTTGAAACTCTTTTAGTGAATGTTGAAACTCTTGTATCCAAGTCTAATTCCTGGGACTCGAAGATAGAAACTGAATTTGATGAGGAACAGTCATAACAAAATCTTCCTGACAAGAACATGCCGCCTCTATCCTCTGTCGTGATCATTGAAAGCAAAGCGGATAGCCGGTCGAGGCGAAAGATCCGTACTCTTTTGGAGCTTATTGAAGTTTCAGCTGCTAATTTGGCCACTATGTTGACGAATGTTAATCACGTCCATGCAAGGTTGGAAAGTTTTGAGAGCTTTATTAGAAGGCTAGTGGATTGTGAAAAGGCTCTGACCTCTAATATTGATACTATCCGAGGTCTCGGTTTTAATGATGCTAACGTTGTCTCAAAATGTGATATCCTCATAAATAAGGTTGAAACTCTTATAGTGAATGTTGAAACTCTTGTATCCAAGTCAGATTCCCGGGACTCGAAGATAGAAACTGACTTTGATGAGGAACAGTCAGAACAAAATCTTCCTGACAAGAACCTACCGCCTCTATCCCCAGTCGTGATCATAGAAAACAAAGCGGATAGCCGGTCGAGGCGAAAGATCCGTACTCTTTTGGAGCTTATTGAAGTTTCAGATGCTTATTTGGCCACTATGTTAACGAATGTAAATCACGTCAATGGAAAGCTAGGTAATTTTGAGAGTTTTATTGGAAGGCTGGGGGATTGTGAAACGGCTCTAACCTCTAATCTTGATATTATCCGAGGTCTCGGTTTTAATGATGATAACCTTGTCTCTAAATGTGATATCGTCATAAAGAAGGTTGAAACTCTTATAGTGAATATTGAAACTCTTGTATCCAAGTCATATTCCCGGGACTCGAAGAAAGAAACTGACTTTGATGAGGAACAGTCATAACAAAATCTTCCTGACAAGAACATACCGCCTCTATCCCCTGTCGTGATCATAGAAAGCAAAGCGCATAGCCTTTTCAGGCGAAAGATCCGTACTTTTTTGGAGCTTATTGAAGTTTCAGCTCTTAATTTGACCACTATGTTGACGAATGTAAATCAGGTCAATGGAAAGTTGGGGAGTTTTGAGAGTTTTATTGGAAGGCTGGGGGATTGTGGAATGCCTCTGACCTATAATCTTGATAGTATGCGAGGTCTCGGTTTTAATGATGATAACGTTGTCTCTAAATGTGATATCCTCATAAAGAAGGTTGAAACTGTTATAGTGAATGTTGAAACTCTTGTATCCAAGTCTAATTCCTGGGACTCGAAGATAGAAACTGAATTTGATGAGCAACAGTCATAACAAAATCTTCCTGACAAGAAAATGCCGCATCTATCCCCTGTCGTGATCATTGAAAGCAATGCGGATAGCCGGTCGAAGCGAAAGATCCGTACTGTTTTGGAGCTTATTGAAGTTTCAGCTGCTAATTTGGCCACTATGTTGACGAATGTAAATAACGTCCATGCAAAGTTGGAACGTTTTGAGAGCTTTATTGGAAGGCTGGTGTATTGTGAAAAGGCTCTGACCTCTAATATTGATACTATCCGAG